CCAAAGCCCCAGTAGATAGTTGTATGTTATAGCTGCACATCCTTCTAGTTGCTGTATGTGGGACGCGGCCTCAGCATGGCCGGAGAAGCGGTGCAGTTGCTGTATGTGGGACGCGGCCTCAGCATGGCCGGAGAAGCGGTGCGTCGGTGCACGCCCCAGATCCGAACCCAGGCTGCCAGTAGCGGAGCGCGTGCACTCAACCGCTAAGCCATGGGGCCAGGCCTGATAGGTGGCCCTTTTGAATCATTGCTGGGAGTCTTTTATTTATTTGTCTTTCTCATCCCAGGGATGGAGGGCTGAAGAGAGCAAAGGTGAAGGACACCTTTAGGGAGGAGCAACAGAAGAATTACAGCAAGATGATCGTGGGCAACGGATCTCTCAACTCGGAATCGGATTGAATACCACCCTGGAGATAAAACCTGGCGTCCCAGAACTAGCCCTTAGAAGTGGAATGTGGTTTTTTCGGGGAAGCAGGGGGAGAGGGTGTTGTTTTATTTTATTGTTTTTGTTTTTTTATTGTTAATCTTTTCTACAGGATGATTGTCTCTACCTCTTCATGCCAGAGGCAGAACCCACCAGTGCCCCTTTTGGCTTTTGTTGTTGTTCTTGTAGCATTAGCCTCGTGAATTGTGAGGGAGTTCACTGAGTTTAAACAGATTCTGCCTTTGGTAAAATGATTATGTCATTGTTGATTGAATGAAATATTTGTTCAGGAAAAAGTGCTTCTAAAACACTTTGAGGACTCATTGTGTTTGGAACTTGTTGACATGGTAATTCTCAAAAAATAACCCGAACTCTTTTTTTATGATTAGCTTTCTCACTCCCTTTCCTCCCACTCCCTTCGGTCACTTGAACGGCCTATCACAGATCCGTTCAAGGTTACTGTCGTGGCTGTGTTCTACTGAACACAAGGTGAAGGTTGTGTTGAAAAGAAAAATGAAGGACAGTATTTAGGAGAAAGGACGAATTTGTGGCCACTTGATCTGAAAGTCCACAGCAAATGTAAATATTTTTTACTAGTGTGTTTGTTAGAAGAGAAATACTATTTGGTGAACTTTACCAAAGAAAAATGAGTCCGAGTTACTGTGTGTGTGCATTTATATGTAGGCAGATTGCGAATCAACACTTTTTAGCCAGCAACTGGTGATAAGGTTTTTAGTTTTCCTCGTTTGTATGCTATAAAGATCTGTACCTAATGCCTCTCCCATCTACTGATTTGTTTGATTTTGTAACGAAACACATTTTAAAATAGGAGGAGCCTTTAACAGCAACAAAACATCACACTGAGTGTCTTTAGCTGGAGTATGAATGGGAGAAGCGTGTGCATAGCCCCTCACCCTCCACCTCTCTGTGGTTTATTTCACAACTTTCCCAGTTTCTTCAACAGAAAAATAAGTGGTAAAATTACCTTTTGGAAACTGAGCCTTAAATTTTTTAAAGGGGAAAATAAGTATTTCCCGACTCGCACAGCATAAGCAGTGTCTGATAGCAGTATACCTTCTTCAACTCTGCGAGTGTTATGTCTCTTCTGGTAACCACGTGCAGAATGTGAAACTGTCTTACAGTGAATATAAATAAATTCTATATTTCTAAATGTGTGTTGCTTTATTTTCCCGCACCTCTGCTCTCTTCTGGTTTTGAGTAAGTTAAATTCTTTCTTATTATGAGCAAGAGTCTTTTGTTTTTCATTTCAATGTCATGGTTAGATTTTATTGGACTGGAACATCTGGGAAATAAGCCTATGAACCGCTGGTTTGAGTTTGTTTTTTCTCTTTTTTAGCCTGGTTATCTGGACTCTGACCCTGTGGACTGTACTTTGAGCAAAGTCACAGACTTCAGTTACTTGGCAGGTAAACTCAGACAACTGTCTCTTAATTGACTATAGGGACGCGGGGCATAGCACTGTCAATATATAGCCTTCTTATCAATGGATTTGATCCCAAAGGAAAATTTGCAAACAGGTTACCCTCATGGTCAGCTGCTCTTCTGTTCTCGCCTCCCATCCTTTCCTCCTTTGTTCTTGATTTAAGTTTTGCCCTTGAAACTCTGCTGGGGGTGATCTTGACTGAGAAACAGCAAATCCAAATATGTATGTTGGGGTGACTCTTGGCCTATTTGTTTTTTTCCTCAGAAAGAAGGATTCTTTTTTCTTTTACTTTTCATATTCAGTCTAGCTTGAACTCATAAATCCATTTTATTAATTATCTGAGTTCTCAGAAAAGCTGAAAGACAGCTCAACAACTGTTTTGTTTGGACAGTGATAAAATGTTTCTTTCCAAGGTCCCTATGAAAGCAGTACCGCTGTCACGCATTCACTAGAAAATTGAATGCTGTCTCAGTCAGAACTTTTCTAGGTCCCTGACTTACACAACTAGTTTTCAAGTTATTTGAAGAATTGCCATGTTACTGAAAACATGTTTTTAGAAAGTAAATACTGCTCAGATTCAGCTTGGGATCCCTAGAACTCCTTTTTTTTTTTGGTGAGGAAGATTAGCCCTGAGCTAACATCTGTTGCCAATCCTCCTCTCTTTGCTGAGGAAGACTGGCCCTGGGCTAACATCCGTGCCCATCTTCCTCCACTTTATATGGGACGCCGCCAAAGCATGGTTTGCCAAGCGGTGCATCAGTGCACGCCCGGGATCTGAATTGGTGAACCCCTGGCAACCGCAGCGGAGCACGCGCACTTAACCGCTTGCGCCACAGGGCTGTCCCCCCACCCCTTTTTTTTGCATTTACCTTCCCTAATGTTATTTTATACCCACTCTAGAAATATTGTGCCCAGAGTTTGGTCTTCGCAACTTCTGAGTCTTTTGTAATTGTAATGGAATATAATAGGATATCCTGTAGAGGGGAGGCAGGATTTGGTAGAAAAATACCGTTAGATAAGACCTTTCATCTAACCCTTGCACAGATTCATTCACTGAGACTCAACGTTGCCTTTTTTTATTCCAACACTGTAGTCATATTTACAGACACTGGGTTTTGCCAAGGGTTTCTGAAATATCCTTGCACATCTTGGGATTGGGTGAGCAGCCTCATATGAGACAGTAAATATACTCAGAGCATAGAGGAAAGAGTCCTGGATCACAATCTGGTGCAAGGAACAGTCTTGAGGAAGGTTTCCTGGATAAGCAGACTTTCCAAGGTGTATTCAACTCCGTCTTGGTGATGTGCCATCATCCTCTGAGTGCCTATGTTGCACTTTGGGCATTCTCTTGACACCTTAAAATATATGATAAGGGCTGTTGGTTTCTGGTGACTACAGGTAATGTACTGTGGTCATGAGGACTGCCTCTTGGCCAGAGTTACTTTCAATCTTTGTTTCTGAAATGTGGCTCCCTGCTAGGTCTGAGTAGGTCATGATAGGAGGCGGTGTGAAGCTGGGATCTGGGATTGGTACTGAAAACAAGGGGCCCCAGTAAGGATCTCAACAAAAGCGATGTGCTTGCTTTTGTTTTTTTTTTGTGTGTGTGTGTGAGGAGGACTAGCCCTGAGCTAACATCCAATGCTAATCCTCCTCTTTTTTTTTTTGCTGAGGAAGATTGGCCCTGGGCTAACATCCGTGCCCATCTTCCTCTACTTTATATGGGACGCCGCCACAGCATGGCCTGACAAGCAGTGCATCGGTGCGCGCCCAGGATCCGAACCTGCGAACCTAGGTCGCTGCAGCGGAGCGCGCGCACTTAACTGCTGCGGCACTGGGCCGGCCCCTTGCTTTTGTTTTTTTAACACTGGTTTCTAATGCTAGTAGTATTTGGTGTTACTTTTTGGAATAATGGTTAAGATGATGAGATGAAGAGTCATAAAGACATTTTCTAATTGTGGCTCTAGCACTCACTGGCCTTGCAGCCTTTGATAATTTACTTCTCTGATTCTCACTTGTCTTATTTTTATTTACTGTGAAATTATAGAATACATACATGTGTATATGAAAGTGTGCAGGTAGACTTTAAGGGCAATGATAAAAACAAATATCTGTGTACTTGTTACCCATGCCAATGAGTAGAACATGACTCTATCCCGGAAGGTATGAAAAATCACAGTTTGTTATTCCATTTACTGCTGATGGACATAGGGTTATTTTTAGCTTAGTTATAAACATGCTTGTATATGTCTCCTGGTTTTTATGCACAATGGTTTCTCTAGTTTGTATGTTTAGTAGGAATTAGGATTGCTCCATGGTAGGATATTGGCAGCCAGCCCTAGTGGTCTAGTGGTCTAGGTTCAGAACTCTCACTGTAGTGGCTCTGGTTCGTTTCTGGTCAGGGGACCATACCACTCGTCTGTTGGTTGTCAAACTGTGGCTATGAGGCTGAAAGCTATGCCACTGGTCAAATACTTGCAGGGGTAGCCCTGGTGGACAGGTTTCAGCGGAGCTTCCAGACTAAGAGTGACTTGGAAGAAGGACTTGGCCACCCAATTCTGAAAAAATTGGCCATGAAAACCTTATAATAGCAGTGGAGCATTGTCTGATGCAGCGCAGGAAGGTGAGAGGATGATGCAAAAGATGGGGCAGGGTTCTGCTCTGCTGTACAGAGCAGAAGCTTGCTAGAAGTTGGAATGGGTGGGTGGCTAGGAGTTGGAATCTGCTTGACGGCACTAACAACAACAACATCAGCATGTTCAACTTTAGTGTAGAAACAGCCAAACTATTTCCAAAACGGTTGTACCATTTTACGTGCGTCATCAGCACTATACAAAAGCAACATTTCTGTTTAGTGATAACATATTTGGATTTATTTTTTATCATCTTATTTTGTGCTCTTTCTTCATTTTTTTCCTCTTGCCTTCATTTGGGTTTATTACCTTTCCTTTTTCCATTTTCTCTACATAAATTGGAGGTTAATGGTCTTATTTCTGTCTGTTCTGTGGTTACCTTATAAATTTCAACTTGCATACTTATCAAACTCTGAAACTGATCAGTATCCTTACACTCCTTCTGGATAATACAATGGTGCTAGAACTTGAATTCCAGTCATTCATTCCCCCTGCAATTTATATGATATTATGCATTTTAATTACTTATGTAATCGCACAAATTGTTGTAGTCATCATCATTCTTATTATTTTATACAGTCAGTGTTTACCCACACTTTTACCACCTCTTTTATCTCAGTCCTTCCATCTGGAATCACTTTCCTTATTGAGAGTCTGCTGGTAGTAAATTCCATTTTTGTTTTTCTGAAAGTATATTTATTTTGTACTCATTCTTGAAAGTTTTTGCTGGATGTAGAAGTTTATGTTCAGATCAACAGTTATTTTTCTCTAAGTACATTAAAGATCATTCCATAGTTGGTATTGAGAAGTCAGCTACCAGCCTAATTATTACTTCTTTGTAGGTGATATTTCTTTGAGTGTATTTAAGATCACTTCTTTGTGTTTTTGTTATTTTACCATTTCACTATGATGTATCTAGGTGTGCATTTCTTGTTATTTATCTTGCTTGT